AATTACTTTCTTCTACTTAAATATTAGGTCAAATATAATGTAAAGTACGAAGTGACTTTCTATATTAAAACTGCAACTTTCTATTACAATGTTCTGACGACCAGAAGAGTATTAACACTAAAACATCATCAGAATGATCGAAATGACCAGTTTATAATTTCTCACAGGAATATTATAAATTCTGTATTATTAGTGTATTTTTAGAGGCTCGAGTGATTTTTGGTAAAATATACCAAAGGTAGAAGCTTTTCTCTTGTTTCTTGCACCTTAAATTTCTTTGCTTAGTCTGGCTGGTGGTTCTAGCGTTAAATCAAGGCTCGTCAGAGATGAGCCAATGAGAACGAAGGATCAGGATTGCAAAACAGAAACAAAAGATTCGAAAAAGATTAGGTAGACGGCATTGTGCTGGTGACGCAATGGAAAAGCACACTTCAGACTAATAACGGAGACATCCGTGCCTCTCCTCAAGTACCCCCAGTCGCGTCTCAAACTCGAGTTCAATTTCAACGATGAAAATCGCACACATCCGCCCTCCATCTCCTTTCATCCAATCGCCGTGAGAAATTCACATTCGCCATCATGATCATCGTCGGCATTCAGCCGATCGAGAAAAAAGAAACAACAATTACAGACATACAGAATGTTCTCCAGTGCACAAAAACATAAAGCATGGGGGATGATTTCTCGTGAAAACGAAAAATAAAATTTCTTTTCATTCAGGGCATCGTCGTCGAGAAAGTCTAAAAATTTAAAAAATTCTGAAATTTTCTAAACGTACGACAAAGGAACAATTAACAGAAAGTTATTCTACGTGAAAAAAAGATAGGTCAAGAAAATTGTTTTCTCTGAGCTTCATTTTCAAGAGAAAACAGATATTAATATTTTACTGATTAGATTTTAGATTGGGTTTCAATTAGGTTTGGTATAATATTCCGACAAAAATTGTCTTGATACTTGGTAAATTTTCAAATTCGGAAACGAAGCCTCAGCTGAAAAAATTTAATTCTATGTTTTCGACTTAGTTCATATTCATGAGGAATCATCCCCTGCGCTGTATAGTGAATCTTCGGTCATGGCATTAAAATCAATGGTAGCATCTCTTAAATTGAAATTAAGGCGCATATTTGTTTCATGCAGATATATCGGGAGATTCAAGTATTATTGATTAGAAAATTTCCAAATCCTGCAATAATAAATGATACAATAACATACTATAAAAGAAATGATTACAAGTGCCGATGGTGAATAATTGATAGAATAATTGAACAATGATGACTGAATTATAAATTTGATTACACTCGTGGATAATTTGATTTAATCTTCAATTGCTTAAAATTCGTTTCGTAATTGGATCAAGTGTAATTTTTCATTAAAATATCGAAATTTCAAGAGACTAGATATTAGAAAATAATAAGAAAAATAGACGATAGTTAGAAGATAATAAACTAAAATAGTAGATTGCAATGATGAGAAAGAATAACCAGGTATTCTAATAGACAATAAAATATTAGATATATTAGATAGAAAAATTGGAAAACGTATTTACAACAACGAGGCACGAAAATTCGAAATTTTTAGTACAAAAAAGGGAGCTTGGAATTTTCTACAGTAATTAATTTTTACAGACTTCTACAAACGATCAGTTTGTATTGTTTTCCCAACGGGGGGGGGGGGGAGG